CCAATCGATAGGAAATTTTCTTATCTTTAAATTAGGTCTCTAGACATTTTGCAAAAAATCAATAGTTTCCGAGAAAATTGTACAAACATAAGCAAATGTACCTTTGGGGGTGGTTTTGGGGTGGTTTTTTTTGGGAGGATCTCTGGGCCTTCATCCTATCTTTTTTCCTAACCCTCCAATATACCTATTTCCAGTGAAGGCCAAACTTTAACACGCATGGTAACTCACAACTCGTTTTTATATGGGATTTAATACCTACTATATAGGGTTACTCAGAGATATCTGCAATGTGAAATACAAATCCTAATTAAAAACTTCAATATGGAATGAGGTATGTCTTTCTAATTTACACACAGCATGCTAACATGACAATTTATGAATCCTTACCTAGTGACAAAGCAAGCACATTTAGCATAAATCCAAGTGCAATGCAAACACACACAAATTAGAGCAACACTAAGAACATACATACCTGTATATCCCTGAGAACATGTGCAATTGTAAGAATTGCTTAACGGATTGCATGTACCACCATTTAAACATGGATTATTAATGCAAACAGTATCAGTAGAGCAATTCGGTGGCAAGCATGGGTTTTCGTAAACTTCCAATTCGCATACTTTGCCTGCAAATCCGGATTGACACAAGCAATCGTACCCTCCCAGTTTGTGTATACACTGCCCACCATTTAAACAAGGCTGCGAAACGCACTCATCCACGTTCTGAAAATAAATCGATACATATTTGCAAAATCGACCACCTAAATTATACATATTGGCACATTTTCCCATCAAAACCGGGTGGACAAAGACACGTAAACCCTCCGTATGTATCAAAACATGTTCCGAAATTTTGGCAGGGATTGGTCCGACATTCATTGATGTTAATTTCACAATTTTTGCCTGCATACCCTGTTGCGGTACAGTCACATACATAACTATCATTACCATCCTTGCACTTTCCATTATTTAAGCATGGAGCGGATTGGCACTCGTTGATGTTAACCTCGCACAGCGCGCCAGTAAATCCTGGTAGGCAGTTGCATTGTGCTCGAGATATAGCCGTATTAACAACGCACATTCCATTATTTAAACAAGGATTCGGCGTACACAGAGGACTTATTATTACTTCTTGCTCACAATTAACACCTGAAACCGAAGTGTGTGAAACCTAAAGCAGAGGATTCACCAAAAACACACCGACATAACCTGGCGCACAACTGCACCGATAGTTCCCATTTATTTCAATGCAAGTGGCGCCATTCTTGCAGATTGCTGGTTTTTTATCGCAAAAGTTACCCAAATCAATTTCACAGTTTTTTCCAGAATATCTAGGGGAACATGTACATGTATAAGAGTTCGATCCGCTATGACATGCCCCTTGCCCCATGCACGGTTCGTTAATACAATAATCAATGGCTCGACTTGTCTTCATATCTTCCTTAGGTGAACCTGAAAACTAACCGTTATTCACAACTCTCGCATAACTAAACTTACAAGAGTTGAGCGGAATTGGACATACACCGAATATAACGTTATGAGGATGAATAAAGCTTTTATTAAATATAATTGAAGGTCCTTCTAATATGCAGCCGATGAAATGATTTCCAACGATTAATATGGCCCCGTCATTGTATAAATTAGGATTCGTTAACACTTCCGATTGATATGTTGCATTTGCAAATAGCTGAAACAGATTAGATCAAATTTTAATATAAATTATTTGCTTTGGTTAGTGATCATGAAAAGTTGCAGAACTACAGCATATTTCAAGCTTGCCGTATTATCCTATTGTTTTGCTCAGAAATCATGCAAATTTTATATATTTTTAAATCCTAAATACTTTTGAGTTTTCCAGACTGTTTTACAAAAACGAGGACCATTATATAAATTTAATTTACAACAAAAAACGAAATATATCCATTGATCACGCCTACCTAATCACAATACAATGTTCACCTGCAGTTCAGAAGCTAGTGAATCCTCTCAGAATTGTTTTTCGATAGTGACATATTTTATTGTTAAAACAATTTTTTTTTACCTAAGTATTTTCCATCCATTAGTGTAAAAACACATTTTCTCATTTAACGAACTACAAAATAAAATATCCTTATGATTTGCTGCCTCAACTTCTCTCAACAACCTCTCAACTATGTACGCCATTTCCCGATTAAAATAAATAGTCGAGACAAATATATCTAAAGAAAAGGAATTTTATTACTGAAAACAAAACACTTAAACCAAACTATGCTCAGTGGTTTCCATCCTAGATGCAATGAACAGAATGATCCCTGTTACAATATTTAGCTAAAATAAACAGAACCAGGTGCCAAATTCTTGGCTACCTAGCTCAAACGAAAAAGTGTCACGCGTTACAATTCTGGGAAAAACGTTTGTTATATCTGAGTTTTTAGCGCCGTGACGTCATACAACTTTTTTTCAAATAGCAACGCAAAATTTTTATTTAACTGTTCAAAAGACTTTCTTTTTCTGTATACAATCTCCAAAAATTAGGCTAGGTTTTATTAATATACCCTTTCGGGTCGGCCAATCAGGTGTAGGTAATTTCTATAAAAGTGAATTGTGAATTGACCGAGATATTTATGAGTTTCACGAACACTTAAGGTTTGGTACGAAATTTATCTCGAAATTTATAGTGTTTCTTGGAAGTGATAAACCTATAAACATAATATACACCTATAAATCTATAATATACTGGTATCATTACAATAAGGTAAACGAAATCTACCTAAATCAATCAAGCACTAAAGTCATAGCAAACAAAAATTATTAAAATGAAGTACAATAAAAAAACAGTTGACATTATTTATTTTAGATATTATCATAAAAGCGTCCGAGTATTGCTATGAAAATAGCTGCTACAACCCTTAAATATTTCACTCAGTACAGTGAACAGGGTTGCCAGGCGTCCCGATTTGAGCGGAACTGTCCTGAACTCAACGGACAAATCTCGAGCCCCCCATTGCTTCTAAAAATCCAATTCCAAATCCAATTAAAATTATGTATTTTTCTTTGTTTCTTAATTCTTGAACTTCCATTTAAATTTTTTTTGGAACTTGTTTTGGAAATCTGGCAACCCTGGTATAGAAGGACATTATTACTTAAAATACAGGGTCGGGGTAAATATACAAAGTCTCAAAAAAGGTTTTTGGGTTCTTCGGCGCATACTAGGCAGTAATAATCTTAATTATACAAGGTTGGTCATAAAGGCGAGGCACACCAAAATTACATTTTTTTTAAATGGAACACCTTGTATATTCGATTTTTAAATTCTTCTCTCAATATTAAAGAGAATTTCTAAGCATAATGTACCCTAAATTCAATTGTTTTGGTGTTATGTGCGTCAGTACTCAATGTTTAACAAAAATTGCTAGATGAAAACTATCATAGAATATTAGTGGCAAAAACTATTACCTAAAAAAAGTAAATAAAACACATACATTATTATATACATACTATTTACGTAAGTAAATGAAAGACTATCTGTTCAGCGGGTTTTTTTAAAGTTGTATTCTATTCTATTGTTAAGTTTAGAATAAAGCAAAACATATTTATTAATTGTTATATTGTGATTTATAAAAACTTTCTGCATCAATAGCTATTGAGATCAATATTACTGTATAGGCCAATGAATAAATGGTTATTATATTCAAATAACTGTAGGTATAGTCAATGCAGACAGCTCGTCGACACAACGTAGGTACTTTTAAAGTTTTAAGACCTTTATGGTAAAAGCTCTGTTATGAAACATAAACATAATGCTGTATTTTAATGCAACATGCTTTAGACATTTTGTTCCTTGAAGTTGTAGAGTGACTAATACTATACATTTGATACTTCCGATGGAATTTACCTGCTTGTGATCATCAACAGCCAATGTTAAGTTGCCAAGTCGATATTCTAACTGAATAACGTGCCATTTATTGTCTAAATAATTGCCAACCAGTTTTGTTTCAAAATAACGCTCCCCTGTGTTAACCACAAATTTGATAATATCTCCATTTACAGACAATTCGATGGTGTTATCATTGTGTTTTTGTGTAAATAACTCTCCACCTGCAATATTACTATTAAAAACCTAACGAAGCGACTACAATTAACTTACCAATACACGACCTAAAACTAATACTTGTATGTCTTTTTAATGATAGTGTAGTTTGCAGTCTTATGTATGAAGAACCATTAAAAAAGGCCTCTGGTTGGTCCGAAGGTCCCAGTGTTTGTAACCTACTATAGTCAAATAACCATACTACATATACGATAACTAAAACAGAAAAGATCAACTTATTAGATATATGCATGGCTCTAATGAACTGTTATAAGTACATTATCTAATGCAATTACCTACTCTTAATAGAAGAAGTGGGTAGTTGAGTCAAGGGGTAGTCTTACCTATAAATATAATATGCCTAAGTCTGGAATACATTGCACTACTTAGAAAATTCTTTCACACTAAAACATATCACAAAAATGGAAATTAATTAAAACAGGTACACATTATTCTACAGGTGTTATTTTAAACGATTTTATAAAGACACCATTATTTACAAGCGGGGACACCAACACATATGACTCAGAAAACAACACCTGTAATTTGTGCTACATTTCTTTCTTGGTGTTAGTGCCATCTTACGACAATAGTGGGTAGCGATAGGTCAGTGGCGTGGCGGATTCTCGATAAGGCGAGCAGGCTTCAACCTAGAGGCCTCTAAAAAGGTAGCTGGTACCAATAATGTAACATTCAAGCAACCCGTTGTTAGAGAAGGTTTAATATCATACTTTACACGATATGGATATGGATGGTTCCTTTACTCGTGAGAAAGCACTTCGGTCGCAAGATAGTCAACAATGGTTGAGGCATTGAATTTATAGTTATAAATTCAATGGTTGAGGGCAATGAAGCAGAACGTCATTCGAGAGAAATGGCATTGATTACGGCGAGACATTTTCGCCTGTTGTGCCATACAGTTTGATTCGTCTTGGCATATCGCGAAGTTGTACGAAGCTTAATTGTTGTTCCTGGGTACAATAGGGACGAGACCGTTTAGCCTTTCTGTTGACTGATGGAGGTGAAGTAACCTAGTGAAGAAAAAGACAATCGCCGATCGCCGCATCGAGCACCGAAGCGGATATCGCAATGGCATGCGCGTCAAAGAAGCACTATGGTTGGTACGTGTCATTTGTCAATTTGGCCAATTGGAAAGCATCAACACGGAGTTGTGTGACAGTAAAAAAAACTTTGGTTTACAGGAAGACATATTTCTATGTAAAAATTATCCACACTCATATCGCAATTCATAATCCAGAATCCATCCAGAAATCATATCTAATAATTAACCCCTTGTCAGCCACTTCCTCCCTACAACAGCACTCCTATCAAAAGTTCGCGCAATTTCAGATACGAATTTGAACACAAGTTTTTGCGTCAACCTAAAATAAATCTTTGCTTATTCCGCTATATGAAGATATATAGTGTATCCATAAATTACGCTCAGTCTCATATCTAATTACATTTAAAACTACTACCTATCTTATCACCGTTTAAACTAAAAAACGCCTACCCATTATGCTTATTAACACTTTATTATTTCTGATTAAATGTGAAAACATTATAATCCAAGCAAGATGTATTATTTCAGTTGTATAATATTTACATCTCTAATCGCCTCATTCTATTGTGAGGTATGTAATATAGATGGACCAATTACAAAATTATTAATTAATTTAGGTACCTCCTGAAGTCCAAGACGATTGGATTCAGGGCACAACAAGATCATTTAGCGTGTGCGTTTGTGAGACTGGTGTCGATGAGCAATTAGCTTGGAGATTATTTAGATATTTAGAATATCCGGATGATTCGTGTCTAGCCTGTTATTTAAATTGTATACATCGCAGACACCAGTTGATGTATCCCGACGGTTCGTGGAACTGGAGCAGTGGATCAACATGGTTGATGGTGTCACACAAGAGATTGCATATGATTGTGGTAATAAAACCATGGACATTCTGGACAAATGTATGAAATCGTATAACTTCTAAAAATGCATAAAGAAATGGCATAACTAAATAAATATTGTACTCATATACTACAACAAATTACATATTATTCTGAATGAATACATTGTCATTATTCCGTCTGTGATACAGCCTGTATCATTATTTAATAAATAATTGAGAAAATCAAAAGTAATCATTTATCAGCTTTATTCGGCGACGCCACTGAAGTAGTTAATATGCCTTGTTGCAACAATGGAACTACTCTTACGTGAGTGGTGGAACTACTAACGTCCCTTGGTCCCTTTTTGATAAGTAATCAAAAAAGAGGGTATGTTTGTAATATAAACGTAAACAATTTATTTATATGATTTAGACGTAAAAAGGCTAAACCGTCAAACATAAATTTTTTGTGTAGGAAAAGCAACGAAAATGAATAAGTTGTGCGATGTCTTCTTCCAACCCATGAAAGATTCGATTTACATCAAACCATTTACAATGTACTTCACCTTAAATGGAATTAAACGCAATTGGGACTTAATGGAAGTACACGATAGTGTGTCGATTTTGATTTACAATGTGACACGAAAAGTCCTAATCTTTGTTAAACAATTTCGACCGGCGGTATATTACGGTAAAATTCCTAGTCAAGAAAGAGCGGGTAATGTTGATGTACAGAAATATCCTGCCGAGCTCGGTGTTACGATTGAGTTATGCGCTGGGATTGTCGATAAGGATTTGCCTTTGGTGGAAATTGCCAGGGAGGAAGTGTTAGAGGAGTGTGGCTATGATGTGCCTATTTCCAGCTTAAAGAAGATCGCTAGTTATCAATCAGGCGTAGGCGCCACTTCTAGCAAACAAATTGCATTTTATTGTGAAGTGACAGATGATATGAAAATTCACGAGGGCGGAGGTGTCGATGACGAATCAATAGAAGTAATTGAAATGACTGTGGACCAAGTGATGGATTATGTTTCAAAGGAACATATTCTAAGTCCACCGAGCTTTTTATTTTGTGTTCAGTGGTTTCTTCGCAGTAAACTGTAATGCAAATTTTATAAATCAATTTAACTTATTAGGATAAATAAGAAATTTTATCATTTCTTCACAAATTTATATACTGTACCTATTCCACCATGCGGCCTATATTTTTTTATAGTTTGGAAAAATTATTCCTTTTGTTGTATGCGTGTTATATTGTTAATATATGCATATTCGTTACCACTTTTTTTAAATACATGTACCCAAATGATAAAAAACAACACACAAAATTGTACCTATAAATCACTACTAGGGAGTGATCGAAAGAGATCCATAACAAATGTTCCATATTTTTGACAAAAAAATTAAAACACTCCACAGACCACAAGTTATAGGGAAGAACCATTCACCAGTGGCGGCTCGTAAGCTGCGTAGAAGGTAGTGCCAAATTGTGTCCCCCTCCCCATTATTTTAATAGTTACAAATTTTTGTTTTCATATTCCAGTTATTTAGATTTTGAGTATAATTCGAATATTTATAATGCAAGTGACGGAAACAAATCTAGCCCCTTTAATTTCTTTGGAGGCTTGTTTCATTATAAGTATACTTCAAGCATGCATTCCAGTAATTCATTTTGTGTTATTTTAGATGAGAATTTTGACAAAAAATTGTATGGAAAGTGTTACTTTTTTCACGATTTGTACTATCCGTTTCCATGGCGTTTAGTCTGATCTATAAACAATAGCAACATTTTATTTGCAGTTGTATTAATGAGGCCGAAGTATCATTTTCAACAATAGTTGTACTATATTCAAATCTTTAACTAAACAAGTACCGAAATTTATTAATTCTCTGAATACCTACTCCTTTATTTTCGGATTTATCGCTATCGTCGTGTCCTCTTAAAGAAGATTCAGACACATTTCGTTTTTTAACAATATTTAAGTCCGGTAACGGCCTGCTTAATTGCTTTATTTAAAGTCTATCTTTCAGAGAATGCATGGAAAAAGGTTTATTTAAATAATTTTTTAATTTGTGTATTTTACTAACAATTAATCCGGGAAATATAATCTTACACAGAAGTAAAAAAAATTGTTTGACATCACGACTGAAACAAGGAAAACGGCGCAAAGTATAGTAATACACGTACACATTATTCAATTGTGCTTATGAGCCAAACTTCTGATGGCTCAAGTTGTACGTATAAAACGCTACTTCGGTTTCGCTCCTCCCACCCCTCTACTCCCCGCGGAAGTCCATACTTGTAGGAAAATACGAGCCAGTTTTAGTTTGGCACGGCTCGATCGTATGAGAAGTCCACGGATAAGCACCAATGAATGAATTCTTCTTGGTACCTAATGTATCAAATCATTTACTTTTTTTGTTTTAAGTTTTAAAACACAATTATTTACTCTAGTGAGCACAATTAATAATAGTTAATTATATTTTAAGAATTGATAATTAGCAGGTTTCTTGAGGTGGTGCCATGGCTCCTTGGCTCTTTATAGAGAGCCGCCCCTGCCATTCACAAAATCTGGTGGATGTACCTTCTGCAATCCTTTCTTTACTTCTTCTGCAAAAAGTTTATATTATCCCACAATGCTTTTTTAAATTTTACCGTGTCGCGTGGATTTTGGAACTTCATAATAACACTCCAAAACCTGCAGCTAACTTACTGCATCCACTGTTAGCTTTAATTTCAGCATTGTATATATACTAATGATTTCACTTCAATAATATATGTTAATAGAACACATATCAGCGCAGGGCCCAATGTATGGTGTCTCGGGTTGGTGGAGCAACATTCAGCCTGAAATCCCATCCATGAAGTAACATACGCAGCAGATAGTGTTTTCTTGTAATTTAATCGGTCTTATTTGATTTGCGTCTATGAATGATTAGATCATTTTTATATGTTGTTTTATTTTTTGTGCCTTAATCGATTCTCTGTTGTTTCTGTAAAAGATGATTTTTTCCATTTGAACCCACCCAACTGGTGGCATATGCCATATTTATTTACCTGTAGATCTCTATATGTTTGGGTGTCTCTTCCATCAGTCACAGGTGTAAATAGAAAGCGAGTGGGTCAAAACCGTAATATTAAACCTGGGAAGTCTAAGATTATTAAAAATGAATTAAAGAAATCAGTACTAACTTGTGTCACATCTGTACTAGTACTAAATTAAATAATGTAACATAAAATAAACAGTAAAATATTCGAATTATAAATTAAAAAAATGGAAAATAACATAAATCTACTACTCGCTCAATAAATAATGTATTTTACTTCTAAAATGATATTTGTCTGTTGGTAAATATAAATAGCAACACTTATAAACTACTTATAATTGACTAGATGCAAACACTAAAAATAAAACCTATAAGTGCATTTTATAAGTACAATTACCCTACCCCTAATAATTAATCTAAGTTACTGTAACATCGCTAATACTGCAGCTAATTATACACAAAATAATGCTATATGAAAATATCACAAATCGTAAATGCATTATAAAATACAGGTGTCAATACTATAAAAAATCGGCCAACTGGACAATTTAAACGATTTTCTCTTGGGCATGCTGTAAACCCGAACAATAATGTAACATCAAAACTGACAGTGCCTGAATTTTCGCGTCAGCTTGACCAATTAAAAATGCCAATTTTGCCTTTTCCACTTCAGTTTCTGTTGAGCTTAATTTTTTTGAAAGCGACATATGGTCGATGGTTATGTCATCCAAGGTTCTTTTCAATTCGGTTACCTGCAATTTGAGACCCGTGTATATAGAAAATCATTGTTATAGATAGAACCATTAAATTAATCTTTTCAACTTTCGTTTCGTGTTCCATGTTAATGTACAGTTGTGTACCGGTTTCTTTGGCGACGTCCATTAGACTTTCATCAGAAGGATACTGTAGGATTTGATCTACTGCACGTAGAATTATTTCAGTAGCCTCATTGGGCTGCTGTTGGATTTCATCTAGCATCATTGGGCACCCACTGAAAGGGTTGCTGACAACAAGTGATAGTTTGCGGGGCGTGTGCTGTGGAGATGGAGGTAAACTACGGCTTTGACTTTGAGTAAAGTGGGAACCTAAATTGGTACAAATTATTAAGAAAAAACGCACGATTTGAAATTACCCGGTATAGCCAAATTATTGGCACTGTTAACGCGTTTTAGGGCATTAATGTGCTGTTTCGTTTCGTTTGAATACTGCGGAATGATGTCATCTTTATCGTTCACCTCGGTCATTGTTATTTCAGGATGAAGAGCATCAGAATTTTCTAATTTCTGATCCAACTTCTCGATATGTATACAAGGCATGTTGAGTTGGCACTTCATTAGACATTTTTTGTGACAGCACAGGTTACAGTTCTTGCATTGAACTGCATCTTTGAGCCAAATCTATGTTTTGAGTTAACAGATGAAAAAGTAATTTCGTGGGGTCATTACCTTTTTAGAGCAGAAATCACAATGAGTTGTGCGGTGAAATTGCGTTCTGACAAAGTCGTGCTTTACCACCCCATCACCTTCCTTTATATGATTGTTAGTTAAAGGTGTCCTTCGAATCTCCGAATGCTCATCATGCGACCACATGAATGAGAGTAAGGCATCTCCATAGCAAAAAACATGCTCAAACCCAGAGTGTAACATTAGTGGATGTGACTGACTATAAGAAAAGCTGCCAATGTACATTTTAACAATAATAATACCCCCTACCACTTCCATGCAAATATAAAATGATTTGTAAGTTGTTTATAAGCCTGGAAGATCTTACCTACAAGAAGTTTAGTGTCTTACCTTGTAGGTGGCGTGCTAGTCGGTGGTAAAAAAGAAAAGCTCCTAATGTAATGACCAAGCATAGAATTACTGCATTGATTCAACACTTCACCTAATGAAATATTCATGTATCCCAATAAGATGTCTTTCTGCTCACTGGTTAAACCCCAAACATTAACATTGAGGTACTTGTCAGTTTCTTTCAAATTGAATTGGTATTCATCCTTATAACTAATTACACTAACTACATCTTTCGTTTGGCCTTTATGAATTTCATTAT